ACCCATGACCCCAAAGATGAGTAGGAAAGTAGCAGGAATTAATACCTGTTTCCCAGAGGACATTGCCCTTCACTCCTACCATGCCTTTCCATGCTGCCACACTCCAACCACATCTGCTACAGCATCACCTCAAACACACTCCCAGTGTAAGTGGCATCTGTAGCATCATTCAGGAACCTCACTGATCATGGTATCAGGACCAAGGGGACACTTTCCAGCCATACCAATCACTATGGTCACTTCCCAGAGAGTGGGATAGCATTTTTTTTCCAGCTCAGATGAAGCTAGAGATACTGAAGACTGGTCACTTTACCTGGTACTCAGGAGCCTAAGTGCTCTTTGGGCCATAGGACTGAAGGTCCCTGTAATGTGGATGATGGACATAATAACATGAGTTAGTAACATCAGCTGGAGAACATGGTGTCTCAAGATGCACAGGTTCAAAAAAAGTGATTGTTCTCTGTGCCACATTCTTCCTGTATCTGCTAAGTCTATGTGTTCAGAGGCTGACTCATTGTGATGACATCTTATCTCTGTCAAATCACAGACAGGCAACTGTTTCTGTAGAGTATATTTTTAATATGTAGAACATATTGTTATATTTGGAATACGCATTATTCTTGCTTAATAGAAACGTTTACAAGAATACATAGACATTTATATCCAAACACCAAATGAAGTAGATTGTTTAAGTGACCAGTTTTGCACCAGAAATAAAATTTACTATACAAAACAGGGCTATATCCACAGTCATCAATTCTCACTTTCTACACAAAATGACAATAAATTAAATCACATTATATGCAGATAGTTCTACTTACATTAGAAGAGTAAGCTGTATGTAGCTAGTGCAGCTTTGACTCTTCTACCAGACTCATGGTAGGTTTGTATTTGTTTGGTATTCCTGTATTTAAATCAACCATGAACAATATGGCTCAAAAGACATGGGTTCCAGGATTGACCCTCTGCAATGCCTAGCTCATGACCCCCTTATTTCAGCTATGCACAGGGGACAAAGTTCTGATTCTTAGAACCACAGCATGTCTGGCCTGTTGAGGGCACTTCACTGATGACTTATCTATCTGCTATTCCACATTGACCATTTTCAGACACAGGCACTGAATCATGAGTAAGATACTCCATGTCAAAATCCACATTCTCTTCTTGCTTTGCAGAAATAACTTCTTTTCTACCCAATAATAGTTATATAGTATGACAAACTTTGTTCTAGAAAATAAAAATGAATTTGGTAACCTGTTGGGATTCATGCTTGGTAAATGGACTCTTTGTTCCTATGCATTTAAATTTATGTCTTTAAATATGAATCAATGAAATGTAACTTTTTTTAAAATTAACTCTGAGGTCTACTTGTTCAAATCTCTCCACTAAGAATCATCTCATACCTGATACACTAAAGAGTTTTTGTAACATATGGATTTTTGCCTCTAAGATTCAAGTCTCAGTAAAATCCTTTTCACTGTGTTTGAAGTGACTTAAAACATAAACACCAACATCAGCTGGTTCAGAATGCTCTCTCTGGGTTTGGTATGAGTTAACATTAGTGGTTAATAAGAGATTTGAACAACATTCAACCCAGGACCTTTTGAGAGTTAATTTCACCCCATAGGCCTGCAGGAGACATGAAAAAATCTGTACACTGAGAACCAAAGCCAGGCTCATTACTGCACATGAAAATCACAGACTTGAACTGTCCAGGGCCATGTATGGCCAAGTTACTCTAAGACTTCTGATTAGAAGCCAGCTACCTCCTCACAGCCAGTGCTATTTTGTCTTTTTCTCTGAGTGAGTGTGAAGGCCTCCTCTCAAGTTCCCACCTGCATGGGAAAGGTGCTGGCACATCTATGGAGCCATGATGCATCGATAGTAGGTGGAGCTCTGGGAAGGAAAGCAGAAGAGACAGTATCGGCTGCAAAGCTCTTCTCTCTGTCACCTTGGGAGAAATAAGCTCCTGATTCTTCTCACTGGGCATGCATAATGCTTCTTGTTGAGACTGGCTATTGCAGGAGATCTAAAGTGTCCATATTCTTCAGTTATAAAAAACCAACTGGAAGAGAGATGTGTCCCTTTGGTGCCACCAACTCATTCTCTCTACTTCTATGCTATCCCTAAAGCACCCTGTGTTTCCAGACAGTTTCCTTTTCTCCCACTGAATGAGAGGTTCAGCTCATTATCAGCTTCCTTCTGAAGTCCTGAACCACAAGGCAGAACTAAATTTCAAATTGGCATTTGCCTTCCTAGCTGTATCCACTAGGGATCCGAGTTTTTTTGTGTGTCAAGCAACATAGGCACCAGTATTTTCCAATTTATAAACACTATTCTTTGTGTGTGTGTGTGTGTGTGTGTGTGTGTGTGTGTGTGTGTGTGTGTGTGTGTGTAAAGAACTGCACAAGTAGCTCAGCTTCAAGAAAACAATGGTACCACTGGGAAGGCTTCTGAACACACTCATTGTGTGACTGAGACACACAAGGCATCCCTCACTTCCCACTGCCCTCTTACACCCCTACTATCGGTCCAACCAGAAGAAAGGAGGTAAGTTAGGGACAGAAAGGGTGCATGTGCCTTCAGTAAGGCACAGGAAGCCTGTAAACAGGGAAGTGACTTGGCATTCCAAAGCTTTTCACTCATGGGAGCAAGAAAGGGGAGCATCTGCTCTCATTCTGTTGGATTCTCCTTCTCCCCATGAGTCCTGAGATGCAGAGTACTATTTTTAAAGCCTGTGGAACTATATCTGTGGTTCAAGAAAAAAACACACCAGTGGTTCTTAAGAGCAGTACAGCATTGAAGGGATTCCTTGTTAACACCTTTGTTTGGGTGAAAGACACAGCTACACACAGAAAGTTTCACTTCTGAGTTTATCTTTTCTCACAAATCTATGACAATAATGTTGGCTTTAAAATGTATATTTATACTGGCTATTAAGTGTATGTTTATTTCCAACACCATAACTTTTTGCTTATTTTAGTTTGTGTATGAACTTATATTTGACTAGATAAGAAAAATACTAGTAAAATATCCTCCTTTGAAGCCTTAATCATTGGCTTTAAAAGTAAAAATGTATAGACTGGCTTAAGAGCTAAAGTCCCATTTAGTTTGTTATATAATAGTTGGCTACTGGCAGATTATGAATGACTAATTGTTGAAGCTGTTGCTCAGCAGTTAGGAATTTAAGAGTTCTTAACCCAGGGTTACCACAGAACTGACATCTATACTCTCAGCAAAGGTTTGCCAGCTTAGTGGTGTTTTCAAAACTTAATGTAGTTTGGGCAACTCATATGAAGTTTGGTTTTTTTTTTTGTTTGTTTGTTTGATTGTTTGTTTGTTTTTCTGAGACTGGGACTCACTGTGTAAACACAGCTGACCTGAAACTCACTATATACACCAGGCTGACCCTAAACTCACAAAGATCTACTTACTCTGTTTCCTAAGTACTAGGATTAAAGACACCTTGCCTAGCCATATGAAGATGTTTAAGAAAGAAAAACTACATAGCAGACATATAAATGACATTAATAATACTAGAACTGACTCCATCTTCCCAAGATGTCTTGAGTCATCCTGCCTGTTTTACAAGGCTAACTCCCTTCTCATCTTTAACACCTTACCTGGGGATGAGCTATTAAACTTGGAACAGCTCCTCTAGCTGAAGTAAAAATAAAAGATATTTGCTGTAACAGTACTGCCATTAATGGGCCTCTGTATAAATTCAAGAAAGATTAGAAATATTTGCACCAAAGACTATAGTCAGACAGAGGACTTTCCCCAACACCACCTTTCTGTAATTAACCCACAGGCTCAAAATATGAACATTAGAAACTGAGTGTCTCTGAAATAAATGGAAAAGATTATTGAAAACGTAGAGGAGGGAGATCAGCTCTCTGGTTCGGATAACTGAAGCAGCTGCCATCTGTGCACTCTGTTTTCGTTATGTGAGTTTCCAACCATCAGCCCCTGCTTTCCTGAATTCTACATCACAAACTTGCCTCCTGCGTTAATACGTTGAAATTTACCTTTCTGGCCTACTTCTTCATTCTTTTTGAAGTGAGCATCTTTCCTTTAACGGCCCCAATGCAGAACCACAATGTAGCTGCTCCTGTTGTCCACAGCTAATTCTTTTATCAAATGGTTTGCATCCCATTTCCTGAACCATAAAAAAGAAGTAGATCTCACACAGAAAGAGCTCATTCCCTTTGACCCAAGTGGGATGCAATCAGATGCGATGCAACCCTTCCCGGGTCTGGAAGCATGCAACAACTTCCAGAACTTCCTGTATTCACTAGGCTTTCCTCTTCAGTTAACCTGAGTGAATATGACCTCCAAGGAAATATGCTATTTCTTCCCTTTAAACTGTGCTTCAGGTACTCAGATGTTACCAAGAAAGGCACGATTACAGGACGGTACCCTTGTTTTTTACTCAAGCAATAAAGTGGAAACCCAAATTTAAACCTCAGTCAGTGCACAGAACTGATTGCAATCAGATACCCAGCTAAAGTCGACTCAGTTCTAGGCAGGATGCACTATCCTAATGCACCATGGGTGATTCCTGGTGGCTGCAAAGCTCTGTGGGGCTCAAGGAACACAACAGGTATCAGCATTCCTCCCTCTTTCAATCACATTTTGATAAACTGTGCTCCTTTTAATGTATGGTTTCTGTGCTTCGCTGTCAAATCCTCACCCTCAGTTTCTTCTTGAGAGAAAGGTTTACATTTCTGTGTCACCTCTGCAACTTTACTGACTTCCATCTCTCAGTTTCCAAGTGCATCATTTGGCCGTAATTAGAAGGGATGGAGCCCTCCAGTATTTAAAACAATGAAAAATGAAAAATGGCTTAACATCAATGTGTCCCTGTAGAGTTCATGAGCTGAATGTATTTCTAGATGTCTGTGGTCAGAGCAACAGCTACTATGGCCACAGCCAATAGAAAGGGGACAGCAGAGAGAGACCATCCCTTCGCCACCATGGATTTGTCACACACTTCCTCCATGCTTTCAAAATATAAGTGAAATTTAATCTTCAAAATGAAAAAATAGACACATTTCTAATACCAAAATAGAAGATTAAAATACTTCAAAATAAAATGTTAGCGTGAAGTAGGGCTTTTTTTACATCATAAAGGAAACATTTTAGACTCGCTTTTCCTATAAATCCTCCTAGCTCACTAGTATTTACAATTTTCCAGAGTAGCTTTTCTGAGACACCGAAGGAGACATGGACAATGCTTTCTGGAGATAGGAAGTCAGACCTGAATGTGGACACTAGACACAGCCTTTGTCCACCACAAACCTGTCCACTGGCTCCAGAGAGAGGGAGCCCTGCATTCCCAGCCTTCAGATTTTTTTCATTCCATTGTCCACTTATTGGATGTTAAATTCTTTCCAAGAATATTCTACTTGTAAAAAGTGTTTTATTCTAGCTACAAAACATTTCCTTTCATAAAAACCACATTTTTATATCCTTGTGGGGAAGGCCCCCAAAGCCATCAAGATATGGAGACGCCAGATTTTCAAAACATAAATCTAATCCTATGTCCTTCCAGCAGTCAGAACACCTAATAGAATGGCATCATATCCTTATATGTGTTTGCCATGAGATGAAAGGCCAGGAGGCAGATAGTGATTAATAATCATTCCTGAGCTTCTAAAGGAAATTTAAAGTGAATGACTACTGCTTAAAACAAAGAATTCTCCACAAATGCCCTTTCTGCACTGCTGATGTCCTTCTTTCCATCTATCTCTCAAGCAGACAAAGGGGGTGGAGGCATTTAAGCCACCGAAAAGTGAGATCTGATGGAATCTTCACGTAGCTCCCGATGTTTCCCGATGTTCCTTTCTTCTTGCTGATTTCGCCTCTCAATGGTTATTCTGTATTTCTTCCTGGGTAAAAGTAGAACAAATGCAATAATAAAACCTCACTTGACAATAAAACACTATGGTTCCTCTTACAAAGAATGCCTTCCAGGGACATCTGGGTTAGGTTTGATAAATTAGAAGTGACACATATGAAACCCTGATCACAGATTAAAGTAGTGTGCCCCGAGGCATCGTGTCCTTTATTCAAGGAGGAAAATTGGCCTGCTTTCTGAAATTCCATAGAACAAGCCTTTCTCTTCTTCCCCCAGAGCCTGTGTGTTCAGTCTTATCTATTCTGCCCCAGAAGCGCTACTTAACTCCCAGGATATGCCCCCAGATAAAGATCTTTGGTACTGTGACCAAAGGAACAGGAACACTATTGTTCCCACAAAGAGCCACATACACCCAGACTTACATTTCCATGTGAAAATAAAGAAACCTTAGAAATAAGCCATGACCTCAACCACTGGAGATTACAACCACTGCAGCAAACAACCAAAACCTTGAACACATGTACATATTACCAGTTTATGAGCTTTGAGGCTGAGCCACAACAACAGCTAAGCATGTGACTTCTCCAAATACAGAACACATTGTAGCCTGGATCAGAGATTACTGGGAGCTCCCTCCACCCCTTCAAGGTGAACATGGCTATTTATTTGTGAACTGAAGGAAGTCTGGGGAGAGGTTCATCCTTGGTCCAGACTTCCTCTTCATGTTTGCATTTGGTAGGTAGAAGGAATTCTCATAAACATATCTGTGATCCAGACATCCCAGCAACTCTCTGGCCCATGGGGGCAAGAGTGCAATAGAAACCCATAACCCAAGATGACCACCAGACCCAAGATGTCACCCAAGAACAGCTTTGCTATTTTAACCATCCTCCTTCTTTGAAAGAAGGGTGTGGGAAATCATGAAGAGCATTATGTGAAGACAGGAGACAAAGGCAAAAAAAGTAAAGTGAATTTTTAACTTCATGAATGATCCCTACCTGAAAAAGTAGAAAGCCATAAGCAAACCAGCACCAAGGAGGGCCCCCACCACGATTCCTGTCACTGCTGATTCTTCTAGGCCACCTGCTTGAAAAAGAAACATCACTAATCAGAGATCATTTTAAGAAATAAGTAAAAATACTTTGATTTGTGTTCCTTTCCAAGTTGAAACAAAATTTCCTTTCTTTGATATATATGTATGTATGTATACACACACACACATACATAAATATATATACATATATATTCAAACGTGAATTATCTCAGAATATATATGAAATTCTAGACTGTCTTCCTTGCTTGGTATAAGGCTTAAACAATGAAGACAATAGTAGCAAAACAAGTTCTGAGTTGGGCCTGGGACAAATGGCAGTCATCCTAGCAGGATTAGGCAGGAAGATCTCAAGTTTGAGGCCAGCCTGAACTACGTAGCAAATGCTGTGACAGGGAAGGAAGAGAGAGAGAAAGAAGGGGAGGGAAGGAACGAAGAGGGAGAGATAGAAGAGAGGGAAGGGAGGTTTGAAGGAATGATGGACAGAGAAAGAAACAACAGATTCGAGAAGGGCTCAATGAGGCTGGAAACTGAAGATTTCAGACACATTCATACTCTTTGAGTTGAAAGTCAAAGAAAGATGCCTGGATGAACAAAGGTACTGACCCAGCTCTTCTGTTTCTCACAGGTGAATGGTGGCACTTCAAAGTGCTAGAAGAAGGTTTAGGGGAAATCATATTGGGTCAGTATTCTGTTTTTAGATGTTCTCTCACCAAAGCCAGAGTTCCATCTCAAAATGTCCTACATAGCTCGTGAAAATGTAAACCACTTGGATCAGACCACCTCATCGGGAACTCAGTACTCGAAAAATCAACAGCTCCTCACCTTGCAGAGTTTAGAATAAGCCATCAGCTCCTCAGTCAGAGTTGGGTACATTTCACTTTACAAGTGAGAAAAGTGAGTGAAGGTTGGTAACTTGAAGAAACTCTCCTGGGGTCCCCAAATGGGCCAGAAGCAAAGTGAGAGACTATGTGGTCAACACACTTCTCCATTAATTCTGTCTCATAACCACTGCATGGATATAAATTCCTCGTCATAGAAAGACAGTCCTGAGACATAATGATCATTTATATATTCACCTAAAATCACTAACTGTCCTGCAAGATTGATAACACTTTTTCTTCCTCATGATTATCAAAGCCCCTCAAAGACAATCACCTTGAAAACTGTTCCTATCTCTGAGGAAGATACACTTGCTTCTTTATATGCACCCGTAAATAATATATCCAATACTTATTTGCCACTTTGTAAGTTGCCAGGTGTTTTAAGAGCAATGTCTGTCCCATCCGGAGGATTTGGGGATCAACTGTAAACTTTGAAATCAATACTGAAATTTGTTACAATAGATGAATAGGAGACAGTTAATAATATTTTTATTTTTCCTTGAAGTGGAAACCTCTAATAACTAAGAGATTATAGAAAGGGATATAAATCCAGGCAGAATATTCTATCATTTGGAAGAAAAGAATAAAGGGAAGAAAGATGGACAACTCTAACAATGGAGGAGGAGTGGTCATGTAAGTTGTTCCCATGGGTTTGAAGGCATCAGAAAAAGACGTGGGCATTTCAGAACATGAGTCCTTGAGAGCAACATATGTTGGGACTCGTATGAACCTGGGGTTAAAGAAGAGGAAGAACAGTAAATTAAGTCTCTGAACTTACATGATTTGCAAGGAGAGCTATTGGTATGCTCTGCAATTCTGGTTTCGTCTATTCTCAGTTTCAAAGGCCCCCAAGGGTATTTTACGTTGGATCGCATTTTGAACCGACCTTCTTTTCCAAAGTAATCACCAATAACCTACAGAAAGGCAAAAGTCAGATGTAGAAAATGAAAGGCCGAAGGTACCTGATCCCAAAGGAGGCATAAAGCTCACAGGATTACATTCGCTTCCCAAAACCTGGCCTGGCCTATACAGGCTGCCTCTGCATATCACCACCTGCAGGGAGTGACAGCAAGAGCTTCAAAAAAGCATGAGAAATAGGAAGGGGGCTCCCCTGTTGTTCACACAGACTGTCACAGCGGCTTCTCATAGCAGCGAAGGAATCAGGGTCTTGTAGGCTTGGAAAGGTGTGGACATGACACAGACAGTACCACCTGAGGCCTGTCTACACTGCAGGCTATGCCCTACCGATGTTGTCCCTTGTTATTCATCATTTGCTATTCTACTGCATACTGGGAAGGGAGGAATTTTCATTTCCCTATGAAACAATAATCTACAAATTCACAAATTCACAGCTTTTTCCTGGCTCATCCCATAGAGCCCTGTCTGGCCTTCTGCCACAGACCAGTCCACACTGTCAATCATGTGGAAAGCCCCTTCCCTTAGGGATATGTGACAGAGCCAACTACCACATACATACTTGGGTTAAGCATGTGACAGATACCCAACCCCACACTCCTCAGTTAGATTGACAGATAATTATAACACTAACGAATACAATTTTGAGTGACAAAGATGACTTCATAGGTAAAGGCCCTTGCCACCAAGCCTTAAGACTTGAATTTGATAGCCAGGACCAGGACAGGACCTACATGTTGGAATGAGATAACCAACTCCTACAAATTGTCTTCTAGCCTAAACACACACACACACACACACACACACACACACACACACACAAAATAAATAAATATGCCATTTTTAAATTGTATCTTTGAAGCATTTTCTGGTTGGCTGGTTGACCCTCTTTTGGTTCATGCTACATCCTTAGGGGTCATATTTGTCTCCAATGAATTTACTCCTCCTTATGTTCTGCTATTAGCAGGCTGACCTCTGTTTCAGCTGTCACTCTAGACCCCTGAAAAATCATCATTCATTCCTGATGTAACTGCAGAGTCATGCTCCAGTTAAGTGACGATTAGATCAGATACATGAGCCAGTCTGGCAGTGCCTCCTGGTACACACCTTCCAGGGATTTCTCTCTTTTGTCTGGGCACAAACTTGCAGCTCCTGGGTGGCCTATGACATTTCTCCTCCCTGCTAACTGAGCTACAGCAGGCTCTCACAGGCTGTATCTGCTCAGGATCAAAACAATTCTAGGTTCTCACAAAACACATCAGCGGTGCTATGTGCTGAGCATATAGTAAGTGCTTTACACACTGCAACCTCACAATGGGATGAGATGGACTATCACTTCCCACCTTCTCCAGAGGAAGCTGGACTGCAGGAAAGACCCAGAATTATGGAAATATAAAACCATTCCTTGGACATAGAGAGCAGGCTCCCTCTCCCTCGCCCCTCCACAAAGACTAGGTATACCCCACAAAGAGGAAAACAGCAAGTACCTTATGTCAGTACCCACAAAGTAAACAAGAGTGATGACCTTCATTAGAATGGAAAAGTTGTGTCTGCCCCTCACCAGCTGCAGCACTTAGGAGAGTGGCCTATGCACCTTGCCTGGGCAACACAGTAGAGCTGGCTCTGAAGATGTAGGTGTAAGTGTGAGAGCATGAAAGCAGAACTGGCTCCGCCCCTTGCTCATTGGTGCATAGGGTAAACTAGCTGGGCCAATGCCTGAGAGCTCACCCTGATGGTGAGGGGGTGGGGGGGCTATGTTGGTGGGCTGACCAAACATGCAACCACCCAAGCTCAGAACCAGAAGTATGAGTTGACCAACACCAACAACCACCCCATCTATGATCTGCCCAAGCCCATCAAGGGGCACATCCTATAGTCCCAAGGCTGCAGGACATCCATGACATAGGGAAACAACAGGATATTCAAGAGTAACCACAGTGAGATCCCAGTACTGGTGGTGTAGCATAAACCAGAAGCCTCAGACCAGACTCTTTACAATGTCCACTTGTAAGTAAAGATATATGGACAAAAGGATATACTGTATGACTCACTACAACACACTACAGCTTCCATGACCAGATTCTCTTTTTTATTCTCTTAAGTTCTATTTTGTTTTATTTTATTGGGGTGGAGTGCAAGGGTAGCAAATGGATATGAAGGGATGGGGAGATGAATAGGATCTATATGCATGATGTGAAAGACACAAAGAGTAAATAAAAAGTAATTTAAAAAAAGTGATGACCTTGCAAGGAAACAGGGCAGTCATCATTATCTGCTGAGTAGTTATTTAATGCCTATTGCTTTCTCTTGTCAATTAGAGGTCACATGCTACTTTTCTGGGTTTCATTTCATATGGTTCTAATGATGTCATGAGACCAGCAAGGAAAATAGTATGGATCCCATGTTATAGTTGAAGAAACTGAAGGAGCTCCTGCCCCTGGTGACTGTCAGAGACTTATCTTCAGTCCAGGACAGACCTCTCTGTTCTGAAATTCCATCTTTTGAAACAGTAATGCCTGAATATCCATAACAACCCCTGGGGATAAAAATCTGGAAATGCTAGAGGCAAGTAAGTTAAACCTCCCATGTTGACTGATGTCCTCATTACTTGGGGCTAAGGAGTGACTCTTCACAGCTTGATGGGTAGGACTTCTCTACCAAGAACACACAGGGCTGTATGTCCTGCCTTCTGCCTGTCCCCTCAATTGACAGTGAGCTTTTTCTTCATGGAAGGCTCATTTTTATTTGAAGGGTTCTTCGAACAACAGGACAAATACTCTCCGAGTGCCCACTTGCAAGACTGCCCAATGAAGAAGTTTCCTTTGCTCACCTCCTGCGTGCCTGCTTCGGTGTCAGTCATGGCAACCACGGAGAAGTCCCCATACCGGTCCCCGTTGGCGTCTATGGACACCTGCCCGGCGATACCTACAGGAGAGGTAACCAATTCTGTATTAGTTACTTACAGTACCTCTGCCTGCCAAGAGAACGAATTGATGAGATTTTTTAAAACAAATTCATGCCACAGGGAATCACATCAGACTGGAAGCATTTTTGTTGGCATTTGGAAAGACATTGTAATTTCATCTGTGTCTGCATTCCTAAATTCTTAACATTTCTCCATTTAAAAAAGAAAAGAAAAAGAAAGAAAGGCTCTTTGGGGAATAGTTTAAAAGAAAAAAAAACAGAGTAGGGCTAATGCTGAAGGCAGTGTACTTATTCTAGAGTTTTGGGGGATTTTTTTTTCTTCTTAAAAGTAGCAGAGAAGATGTCTTATCCTACATAGGTTCATATGGTCATTGGACAACTCTCATGATTCAGTGATTCAGTGAGCATGGTGCATACAGGCTGCATTAATACACAGGAGAACAGGAAGCCTGGTTGGTGGGTCCCTGGAGCCAATGTCTAAAGAGCAATTCTTCATTGCCCAATGCTTATCTAAACATTATCCAGAAGATTGCTGGGTGCTGACTTAGCACTGCAGCAAATGTTTAGTTAGAGGAGACATACTCTTTGCTCAAGGAGGGCCCTGGACAGAGGATTCAACTTTTCCCATTAGAATCAGACTGGTGGGGACCAGAGAACTAAGTGAAGATGCTTGCCACCAAACTGAGCACAGGTCATAGGTTTTATCTTTGGGACCTACATGATAAAAGGAGCAAACTGACTCCCAAAAGTTGTCCTCTGACTTATATACACACATGTGGGCTCAGGCGCACAAACACACACACACACACACACACACACACACACACACACAGAGAGAGAGAGAGAGAGAGAGAGAGAGAGAGAGAGAGAGAGAGAGAGAATAAATTCTTTAAACTTTTAATGTAATTTTGGATTGTTTTGCTTCTTTTTCTTTCTTTCTTTCTTTTTTTTTTTTTTTTTTTCTTTTCTTTTTTTTTTTTCCCTTGAAGAACCAGAATACTGAATTGCAGTTTTGTCTTTCCCTACCTCTGCAGTCTTGGCCAAGGCATTAATCTTCTGAACCTCAACCTCTACAACTAGCATAAACAGGCATAAGATCATGTTCCTACCAGGGGGCTGTAGAGATGAGTACAAAATAAAACACTCGAGGCATCTCCAACAGATATTTGAGCAACACGAGCTGTCTTCCTCTACAGTGTCACTACTGCTATTATTATTCCTACAGGTTGAGTAACCCTTAGCCAAAGTACTTGGGGCCAGATGTGTTGCAGATTTCAGATGTTTTCAAATTTTTTAATAACTTCATGCATATAATGAGACATCTTGGGGCTAGGATGCAAGTCTAAGCACAAGATTCTTTCATATACACTTTCACACATAGCCAGAGGTATTCTTTTTTTTTAATAAACTTTTATTTAAATTTAAAAAAAAAGTCTTATTTTACATACCAATCCCAGTTCCCCTTCCCATCCTCCCATACCCCTCATCAATCTCCCATCCCACCCCCATCCAATCCCCAGGGAGGGTGAGGCCTCCCATTAGGGATCATCAAAGTCGTATACATCATTTGGAGCAGGACCTAGACCCTCCCCTATGTGTCTAGACTGATAAGAGTATTCTTCCATAGGGAATGGGCTCCCAAACCCCACAGAAGGTAGTCTTAACACAGTAGTTTTGGTGGCAATTTTTTGTATAAGATAAACATCCATTATTAGGAAGCTTCTATTTGTGGTGTCATTTTGACACATAAAATGTTCCAATGTGGGGGCATTTTGAGCTTCATATTTGGGGAAAGAGCATGCTATTTTATAGTTACTATTATCATTACTGTGCTTGCAGTATCATAGAAAGCACTTGACCATGTTCCACCACCTAGAGGACTGCTCAGCACAAGTAAAGAAAAGAAAAGAAAAGAAAAAAGGCAGGGATTGTGGGGATTATAAAATCTCTATCAGGGAGGAAACCTATAATTCAACCACTATCAAGAAGTGTAAATTACTGATCTGGTTTAATTTATAAAGCCCCTAAGACAAAAAAGAAGCAGAGAACTGTGGAGTTTCTGATAAAAAAGAGTTCCTTTTCAGGAACAGAGCCAGTGAGCCTGAAGCTGGAGCAGAGCAGGCAGAGCACAGAGGGCCCACCCACCTTGACCATAGATGATGGGTGCTCACAGAAGCTAATCCCCAAAAGGCCACAGAGAACAATGGCTGATATTATACAGTCTGCATTTGCTTCTTCATTCTCTAAGTAGCAGGATGAGTTCATCAGCCGTGTTCTAATTAACACAAGCCATTTGTTCTCTTTGTGGGAGAATTCTGTGCTGTTCTTAATTGGTCCTTCCTCCCATCATTTTGGTTTCTCCCCAGAAGTAGTGACTGCCCCAGGAAAATGAATGTCTACTGAGGAGCATCCCAAGGGAAAGTTCCATCCTCTTGTGTGGTTTGGAGAGGGCAGGCATTTGGGTTTACTGTTCTTTGGGCTGTGGTTTGAAGGTTTGCTGATTTTTCCAGACTTTGGGTTACTTTTCTGGAAACAAAATGGAGTTACCATTCATCTTCATTTTTTTGTCTTCTTAATACAAGCAGGTTACAAAGGATGCACCTATCACAAACTTGTGCATCCTTGAGAGCCTACAAAACTTCAAATTACATACATTTAGTATGTAAATATAAATGTAAATATGTATGCATATGCATATATGTATATAGGTGTATACATATACATATACCATGCACATCCATTCTCCAAACATTGTGGCTATCCAAAATCACATGTCATTCTGTCCAGAGGTGTTTGGGAAGCTATGTCCTGCTCAGTGCTATGCAGAGTGTTTTATAAGATGTGGCAGCCCTAGTAATCCAGCACTTTATTACACCTTTAAGTGATTGCAATTCTGCCAAGAAATGGGGTGAGAACTCTCGAGGTGGCTGCTTTGCAAAGTGAGACTTCACCTAAGGGTATCAAGCAGGAGGTGAACGTGTTAAGGTGACAGCAGAATTTTCCTGCATATCAGCAATGATTCTTTCCAATCTGGTTTCTATTTGCCTATAGTGGAGCCTATGTCCTGAGCCACACACAATCCTGTTTACCTTGTTCCTCTGACCTCTCACAGAGAGGAAACAGCTTCTTCTTGAGCCATTAATTGAGAGTCTTGAGAGTTGATCATAGGCTTCCCAGCAATAAAATCCAATTTTGTCAAACAACATCCAGGGTATTTTTTCTCCTGACAACTTAATGATCACTTACAGCAACCACTAAAATTAAAACTGTTTAATGTTTTGAGTTTTTCTTCACACATCCACTTTAGAGTTCTTTGAGGGGCTACCTTCAGATGGACTACTGCTCAGCACATAAAATAGGCTCTCTGAACCATTCAGATCCAAGCTCGCCTTGGCATCAACCTTTACATTTTGGACACACAAGATTCTAATTTTAGACCCAACTATACAATTCTTTCCCCTCTTGATGCGTACTGACTGTGTAGACTTGACCCTCAAATGGAACGAACTATCAAGATGGCATATGAGAAATTTTAGCACCTGTCTTAGCTCTAAACAGAACTGTGTCCCAGCCATTGTGGGTACCTGCCCTTCTCTCAACCACCTCACCCAGTGATGTCTTTCAGCATCCCCAACTCTGGCTCCTGTCCCGCTGTCAGAAGACCAAGAACAAATGACCACACCATGCAGTGAGTAATAGCTAAGAATGGGATGTGCCTGACCAAGGTTGTGTCCCCACACACCAGTTTCTCGGTGTATTGTGCACAAGTTCTGGGAAATTTGACTTTGTCCTAATATGCCCCCTAAATTGCCCTATTTGATTCCTGACCCCCCCCCCAGCTGATGCAGAGAGAGACAACATGAGTGCATCCAGGGAGCTTCTTCACCTCCCGCCCAAGCAACTACTTTTCTAAAATGAAAACTGTCATTCTTGTCCAGAATGAAGCATGGTGTGCACTGAAACCACCATAGAAAAAAGAAACTTACCAGTAGCTACCGTAACTATCCGGACAACCCTAGCTGGAACTACACTCAAGCCCTTCCCTTTTAATATCGGAGGACAAGCTGAGGGCATGGAATATAGAGGGGATCATCCTGTACTCCTCTCTCAAATCTAGACTTGGCTTTGTTCATGTCTTTGGAAAGTATCACTTGTGTGATCACAATTAAGTATAGGCATACTCCAGTCCTACACTAAAGGGCTCCCAAGACAAGTTTGCACAATGCAAAACTGCAAAGGCCCTTTTCAGTTAACTGACCTAGCCTTCTTACAGAGGATGTGGGCACCTTCCCCCATTTCCCCAGTGTTCATTCTGTGTTGATGGCTCTCAGAAGATGCTCCCCAGCATGCTACAGGTTATATACTACACAGCACCATGGAAACTAAAGTGGCTTTCTGTTTCAGTGGGTTTCCAGGTCCATGGGTCTGGCCCCACTGCATCTTAAGCTGTGGGTCCCATGACACTACCCCATATATTCAGATGTCAACCACACTGGCCTCCCAAGGACTCAGGGGACAATCTCCTACCACACACATTTAGACTACCATGCAATTGCTGCCTCCTCTGTAGCACTGTCTCCTAAACAAAATGACTTCTGTCACCCTCAGGTCCCAGTCAGCTGCCATGTTCACAGCCTTTCTTTGGCTGCTCTCTCTGTCTCCCTACTCTGCTTATTTCACAGCCTCTGGAGTGGAGGGCTGTTTATTGCCTGTTCCTACACATACACACATTTGTACACATAAGACAAACTGATTATGGGCATCATCTTTTTTTTCTGGTTCCTCCCCAGCTCCTTAAACAATGCCTAGTATCTCACAGATGCCTGTTGGATGGATGTATTAGATGAGCTTACTCTAGAAACCAACTCATGCCAGTTTGGAGTGTTGGTAAGGTAAGAGGAAACCACCACTCTCATATACATTACTGACAAAAAATATAGATTAGTGGAATTTTCTATAAGATGTTTGGCAAATAGTCAGCCCTGAAAACATACTTACAAGTAACATTATGCTGATGGAAGAGGTTATATTTAGCAATATATGTGTGTATATACAAATATGTACTTAGATGTACACACATAAACATGCAATAACAGTTAGTGAAAAATGAAAGAGGCCATGAATATGCAGGAGAGGAGGAGAAAATACATATGAGGGTATGGAGGGAAGAAAGAAAAAGGAGAAATGAAATTATCTCAAAAATCTTAAAAAGAAGCCATTTGGTGGTAAATGAATCAACAAAGCCTATTAAAGGAAAAAGAAGTTTGACAACATTCAAGGACTTTGTAAAGCACCAAGATACTTTGAGACCCAAATCCCTCACCATTATGGATGTTCTCTGTGAGAAGTAGTCACAAAACTCCATCAGGGTGTGCAAGAGCCTATGATGCAATATTGCAGAATAACAAACACTGTAACTAACTGAAGTATCCACCAATCAAGGGTATATTAGAAGCTGGAGTGGGAGGATGGCCTCATATCTAAGGCCAATCTAGTCTATATAAGCAAGTTCCAGATCAGCCAGGACTACATAGAAAGACCCTGCCTCAGAACAAATAAACAAAAAAAAAATTAACAAGGAAATTATTATGTAGCAGAATCGCATCTAATTCTCATTTTAAAATAGGTTAGATCTATGAGTGCTCATACAGAATTTTTTTGACATACCAAAAAAGTGAACTGTAAATGGAACTAAAATGAAACTGGTGTTTACAATGAGAGCCAGCTTACAACAGTTTTACATGGTATATACTGTGTGCCATCAGAAAGCATAACACACCTCTGGAGTCGTCTAGAACATTGATGACAGTGATTGCACTGGAGAAAGGAGGTGGCCGTGAGAAGCAAAGTTTTCACTTTGGATTTTGTACATTTTTATACTGTTTAAGCTTTTTAGTCAAGAATAGTCTCATTTCTAAAGGTTGGTGTAGGTTGCTGGAGAAAATATACTTGATGTTGTTGTTATTGTTACATGTTTCTGTTTTTGATGTTTTTGATTGTTTCATTTTTTAAACAGGAACTAATATTCACTACTTTAAAAAGTCAAATAAAAAAGCAGAGGTCCTGAACCTGCTAACCACCTCTAACCACCAGGTTGGATATGACAGCAGCTAACATCTTCTGCATTTCACTAAAACCAACATGGTCCAAACATGGGGATGTACACCTGGATTAACATTTTTAAGCCTGACAGCATATCTTCCACACTCTTTGTTCTAGGTTGAATGTGCTCATGTTAAATGTGATTTTCTTTTTAAGTGCACAGGGCAAGGGAAATGGCTCTGTGGGTAAAGTGCTTACTGTGTAGGCATGATGACCCAAGTTCTGACTCTCAGCCCCACATGAAAAGCTGAGTACAGGCATTCATATCTGAAATCCTTGTGCTGGCAGAGGCTGAAACAGGCAGGTCTCAGGGGCTTGCTGCCCCGCCAATATAGCCAAAAACAGTGAGCTCCAGATTCAATGAGAAACTGCCTGAAAAACTAAGTCAGAGAACAACAAAATCTAACATGAAGCCCAAGCTTACACATACCCATACACACACACACACACACACACACACACACACACACACACACACACCATAGTATAAGAGTTATCTAAATAAGCCAGGAGCAAGATAGTTTTAATGAAGTAGAATCTGCTCAGTGCCTTATTTACACTCATTGTTTGATCTTATTTTTACAAGCCCATGAGGTGAGTTCTCCATACATTAAAACTGGAAAAGGCAAGTCTCTAGAATGGATCTTTTTTGTAGTAGGTAGAAACCACAGAAGCAGTGGCTCACTTCACATGGTGCTGTTGCCATGGAAACTGAATCCCTACCTTCAAAAGTCCTGTTCCAGGTCTGCTGGATAATTTTCCCCCCATCCTTCTTGCTGTAGCCAGCTCTGAGTACTTCATGTAAAGCCAGAACGTAGAGGAGGATGGCATCATGGAACCCTTCAACAAACATGTTCACCTGCAAAGGAAACCCATTGAGTGAGCCTGTGAACCTGATGATGTGTGTTCATCAATGATACAAGCAAGCAAAATGGTCCAACCTGAGTCTGTTGGTGTGAGATCAATGACGGAAGTGGGCAGAACTATCAAAAGTAACTACCAAGAGTCTGACCATGTTTTCCTGGCACTGACTAAGTAGGAAAAACCCTTCCTGACTTGAGAATTTACAGAGCAAACAAGACATTGCAGAGGTCAAAGAAACCATTCTGTTGTCCAGGTTAATTATTCCAGGAACTTCAACCCTCTTTTCATGCAATTACCCTTCTGCATACATCTTCCATCAGCCTCAACTCAGCAATGAAGTCTGCTCCCTAGTGAAGTCTACTTCAACTTCCACTGCCCATATGATCTATTTACATTCTGAGTATAGAACACATGAACAGAACAGTAGTAACTGCACACACTGAAGCAGAGAAGAGACATGGCAAGACCTTGTCTCAAGATATCAAAACAAAATAAAAATGTAGGTATCCATTTGTTTGTACTCAACAAAACTGTTATCAACTGCCAACACATACCAAAGATACAAAGAATGGACTCATTGTTTCCTGCTTGCCTCGGGAGGGGGCATGGCAGTGCTGTTTTCTTCTGTATTGGCAGTAACACCTCAATCTGTCTTTCCACCCTCTGCCAAGCTCCAAGGACAGAAATGAATGCAGTCTTGACTGTAATACATTTAGTTTGATCTCTGGCTCAGAAAAGATATCATTGCTCTCCATACACTTAGTTTCATAAATGCAAACACTGTCCATTGAACATAGGAAAGTTGCTTCATCCTGTTGAGTTTTGTTTCTTTCATCTGTACACATGTATATGGTGTGAAACCTTCTTCAAGGGTTCTACAAACCTTCTGCAAGAATCATATGGTATCATAGAGTGAAGTGCTTGGTGCATATCAAGTATTCAATAATTAGCTTTATGAACTATATGATGTTCTCAGTACTGTACTAGAATCTTATTCAGGATACAGTAAAAAAGACATAAAATAGAGCAGTTCATGTTTCAGGCTGGGGAAGGATAATAAAGAGAAACTCAATGGTCATGGCAAAAATTGAACTGAATTCTGAAAAATGAACAGATGTTTGGAAGGGCAGAAAATTGGAGAAAACTCTATGGGTAGAATAATATGGCAAAGGCATATCCTAACCATTGCTACACTAAAAACAACTGTTCTTTTGGTCTGAAGCAAGAGGGACAAGGCCACGTGGAGACAACCAGCAGAAACTCAGACCTCTGAGATGAAGACTGTTCTCTGAGGAACTTGGACTGCCTTAGTAGGCATTTGATCACTTAAATTATTTCCTCCTTAGAAAGACTATAAGTCCCTTTGGAAAGGTCCCCCTTCCATATTTATACCACTACAACATAAACCAGGAGGAAATAAACAAGCACCATCTTGAAAGACTGGGTAATTAACAAGCTCTGAACAGAAGGCACAGAATATTCATACCTTGTTTCAATGATCCAAGTTAATGGCAGAGAGCCAAGGCTACATGAGGAGCAGGGGTCCCTCAGAGGACACTGGGAGGTGTTTGTGTGAGAAACTGACAGCCCTGTCCCTCTACAGAGGAACCCAGAGGAAGGGTGCCTCCATTGATCTTTTGTATGGGTGCATATATTCATAAGTGGTGTGCCGTGATTCAAAGACACACTCACAAATGGTGTCACCTGTTTCAAGGGTACCCTCACCACTCTGTTTCATTTGTCCTCATCCTAACCCCCACTGAGTCCTGTTTTGCACTATAGGAACAAGTGTTTCAGATTTTCCAAAGCCTGGAGCCTGGGCTGCTCCAACTCTGCCTTTTCTAGCTGCGTTCCTACTTCCTTCTTGGCCTTCAATTCCTCATCTAGAAAATGAAAGGAATGACAGTACCTTCCTCCTGAGATTATTACCAGTTTTCTCTGACTTGAGAAATGTAAAGGACTTCAAACAGCTTCTGCCACCACCACCCCCTGTCAGCTGTCATTGTCTCAATTGTCAAGAGATGAAGAGTTACAAACCCAGGGAGTCTACCTAGCTTCTAATTCATCCAATAAGCTACCTATCTTATTGACCCATTTTATACTTGATAGAAAGTAGGGCTCCTTGTTCACACTCTGGTGCCCCAGACAGATCTCTTATAACATCATAATCCTAATGATGCCTACTAGGACAACACTGTCCAAGCTGGTCTATCCCACTGACCCTTGCAGAGAAGTGGAATACAGGACAGGTTCAAGTACACTGAAACTAGCTAGATCCACAGTCTACTCCTAACCCAGATGCCTCACTCAGTCTCTCAGTCTCCCAAGTCCTCATTTGTGAAGTAAAGGACTCACCATAGCATTGGATCACCTCACAAAGATTTTCTGTGGATTAAATGAATTAGAGTATCAAAACACCTAAGAAAGTTCTAGAGACCATGAAAGCCTTGGGCAGATGTTGGCTTTACCCTTAGCTGTCAAACTTAAGTCTCAGAGATACTATTTTCTTAGGCAAAGAATGCTATAGAAATAACATTTACCAGTCAAAGATAATTTTCAGCTGCCTTGAATATGCTAACTTAATTTTCCAAAGGAATACAAATTTTTCACTTAGACCATGAAGTCATCATGATTTGAGAAAGCATGCATGCTGATGAATTTTAATAAGTAGACTTTAGCTGTTAAATTTAACTCTCAAGACATGATCACTTTTCCTCCACAACTCTATCTTCTCTTTTATAACTTTATAGGAACCACCTTTCTATAGGGGAAAGTCATGGAATCACAGCTGTGACATGTGGGGGACATGAGTGCCCTAAAGAATCTTGAGGTTTCCAATATTTTCCTGAAGCTATCAGCTATTAATGGTTGGCTTCAGAAGAAGGAGTCATTTTCTCCAGTGGCATAGCCACTGTCAAGTTGCCCGTGTTCCAGTAAATAATGACCCACCCATGCTCATGCAAGTCACCTTAATGAAATTTAGTGGGTTATACTTTCTAAAAGAACTAGAAAGGAACGTATTAGGTAAAGGGGGATCTTAGCAGCTGTGGAAGACAAATAAGAGAGGGTAACAATAGACATGAAAATGACCAAAATGCATTAAATATATGCATGAAATTGTTAGAGTAACAGATACTGGAAAGGGAAGGACAATTGTTTGCTCAGTCTTCCTGAATTCTGTTCTTGCATGTCACGCATGTTCCTGGGGTACCTAGGATATCTCTGTTTAAAATATGATGAGTTCCTGAGCCTCATCCTTATTTTGTTGTTGTTGCCTTCTTCTTCTTCTTCTTTTCTTCTTCTTCTTCTTCTTCTTCTTCTTCTTCTTCTTCTTCTTCTTCTTCTTCTTCTTCTTCTTCTTCTTCCTCCTATTCTTTTCTCTAAATCCTCCCTCAGGGACACCATACTAATGTTGGCTATTCAGACAACTGGTCATGCAGCCGAGTGCCATGCCCTAATTGGACCTTCCCATTCCTTCCTTCTTGATGCACCCTTTCCCATCCTCATTCAATAAGAAGAACACTTGTCTGACCAAGAAGGATGAACTTGGATGGTCTTTGTCCTAACAAGTTTGATGCCAAAACAGGACAGACAGGCTCTGAACAAAACCTCTGGTCTGAAATCTCCCACTATCTTGATTTGCAAGTGGATCACAACAGTTGCCTCCTGTCCTCTCTAAGTGGCTAAATGCCCCCCTTTCCCTTCTGAGGAGGAAGCTGACCCCCCTGAAGCAGTGGCACCCTGGCCCGGTGGAGGAGGTTTTATCACACCTACCTCATAGGCCCTTGAGTCAGAAGCGAAACCCCAGAGACTGTCTTTTCTCAAGGAGAACATTCTCACTCTCACACATGGGGAAACCCGTTAGCACACTACAACCACTGTAAATTGGAAGTGCAAATTCGGGAGGAAAAAAAAATGAGAGGGGTGGGGGGAAACAGTATCAAGTCGTATTGGGAACACTTTCCTTTGAACCTCCACACTAGAAGGAACCAGGTCACTTGGTCTGTCTTCCTGTCTCTGGACAAACACTTGGACCTCAAGGCCCTGGTTGTGACACATCACACTGTTGTGACCAATGACAGGAAATGGGATTCCCTTACCTCAGCAGCTGGTCTGGGTGTTCATCATCTGTTTTAGTTACTTAAATACCCTGACAAAAGCAGCTGAGGGAAGGAAGGATTTATTTCACCTCACAATTCAAGGGACCAGTTCATCATGGAGGCCAAGCCCTGGTAGCATCATCTTGAGGCAGCTAATCATGTTGCATGTCACCAGGAAGCAGAGAGCAATGAGTGCTTGTGTTTAACTAGTTTCTTCCTCTAGACATAACTCAGAGCTCAAGTCCAGGGAAGCTGACACTCTCCTTTGGTGTGGCTTCTCCTACCTCAATTAGATAACCCCCACATGGGCATGTCCAGAGACTTGACTAATCTAAATAATCTCCTCAGACATTCCAGATCCCCTTGAGGTGCCAATCAAAATCCACCATCATAGCATCCTTTTAGCTAGAAAATCCTCCCTAGCATCACTTGCTGAGGTCTTAAATTCCTAAATGCAGCCACTCCCAGGCTAGATAATGAACAAGTTGGATTAAGAAAACATGACAGTTCACAATCCCCACCAGACAATCCCATGCAGAGAGACTGTACAGAAGTCATGACAGGACCTCTCCTCTGCCAGATCTGCTAGCCACGTTCTCTCACCAACAAACCCAAATAAAAATGATCACATTTGCCATTTTTCAAATGAGCTTAGATAGACTTGGCATTCACAGCATGGCTCCCTCTGTCACACTGCACAGTATCTTCCCCCATTTCTCTCTGGGGAGGCAAATTCATGTCTAGGTGAATTCCTGGATGCTTGTGAGTAAGGAAAGCATGGAACTTTAATGCTATGTATCATGGGAAAGGCCAGTAAAAACAGAGTGACTGAGCTGGGCAGTGGTGGCACATGCCTTTAATCCCAGCACTTGAGAGACAGAGGCAGGTGGATCTC